AGCTCGCTCCCCAGCCGGAGCCGCGGCGACGCTGGCAGGAGCCTGCGGAGGGTCCAAGGCGGGGCCTTCCACTTCCCACCCACCCGCGAGGCGGGGTCTACACGCCCCGCTCGCTGCAACTTGGCCAACCCGGGGCGCGCATTGACGACATCTCCACCCCCGGCTCTTACGCTTATTTGCGTCATACGTGGCGTAAGAGCACAGTTTTAGCCGGGGGACCTACCGGCCCCATCCTTCCTCCACCAAATACGTGCCTCACTAGAATTCCCACTTGGCCCTATGCCTATGACATATGCTTTTCCCCAGGGATCACCGCCTCTATTACCCAGGCACAGGGTTGGCGCAAAGGGTTATAGTTGGGCGGGGACCCGGAAAGATGCGCGCGTGGGGTAGAATAAACCCTAAAAAGAGGAGCATAAAAGTCACTAGAAAGGTGCTCATGTACCTCAATTAAGAGCAGGAATGGTTATGCGTGTCTGCCTGGATTCCAGCTCTAGCAACGCTACCTACTGAGGGTACAGCTTTGGCCAAGCTGCTTAGCCTCTCTGAGCCCAGATTTCCTGATCGGTAAAATGGAGATGCGGATAGCACCTCGCCCACCAGGTGGCTGCGAGGGTAACAGGAATGAAACTCACGTGGATCGCTTAGGACAGTGATTGCGCTGTCATATGCTAACACTCAGGCAGACTGCTTCGGTTATTGGCCTTGCCTCTCCTTCCTTTCGTGTCTTCCGCCTCGAGTCTATCAAACAGTGTCGTGGGCTGCCTGCAAAACACTGTTTCCCACTGGCCCACGGCTCTCCATGCTCACTGTCCTACCAGGCCACCGTGCTCTTTCCTCACGACTGCTGTGGTAATCACCTAACTAGTGTTTGGCTTCCACTTTTGCCACTCAGTGAGCTAGGCAGTGATCTTTCTAAACTTCAAATCTGATCACTTTACTCTCTTGCTTTTTAGTAAAAATTTGCCAAAATACAAACAATGATAGTAGTGCATAGTAAATACTCATGCACTCCTCATCTAGACTTAACAGTTACTGATATTTTGCCTCATTTGCTTCTTTTTAGTACTTAAAAGTAAATAGTAGTCACATTTTCCTTATAAGTATTTCCATGTGCGTCTCCAAGAAATAAAGGTATTTTCTCACATGATGAAAATGCTACTATGACATCCAATAAAATTTCCTATGCCCAAATATTACTTGGTGCTCAGTTCATATTCAAATTTCTCAAATTGTTTTTTAAAAATTGCCTTTTTCAGCTGTTTTGTTCAAAATAAGAGTCATAGAGTACCATTATGTTTGGTTTTCTTAATTCTGTTTAAATTAGCATAGACAGGGTTCCTCCCCCCTCCACACACAATTTTTGATATTTTTTGGTTGAAGAAATGAGGTCCGCTTTTCTTCTGGATTTATCTGGTTATTTCCTCATGATATATTTTCCCTGTATATATCCTGTATTTTCCCTTTACTTCCTATAAACTGGAAGTTATGTCTAAAGTCTTGACTGGGCCAGGTTTAAAAATTTTAAAGCAAAATGCTTTATAGATGATGCTGTATGCCTTCAATTGGATAATTTGCAGAAGAGAGGAAAGTTGACATAGCACTATTTCTTTCTTACTTTTAAAAAATTTGACTACTAGAACTTTTAGAATTAATACATAATTATATATTATATTTCTACTAGACAACCACTAACTTAGAAAATTTTTTTTCCATTCTTATCAGGACAGACAGCTGAAAGAAGTTTGCTTTCATGTGGCAGCAGAGAAAATAATATACCCTAAAACTGCCTCACATCAGCTGTAAGGAAGAGTTTATAGATAATCTTAATTGAATGTATCAAATGTACCATATTTTACTTTATTTGTAGCACTTTTGTTTCCTTTTTAAGAAATCTTTCCCAACCATTAAACCATGAAGTGATTGTCTTATACAATCTTCTAAACGCTTCATTCACAAAGTTTTGCAGATTAGGAGTTCAGAGAAGTTAAATAAAACCATCAAATGGCTTAAAGCTGTGGAATAGGCTTCATTGTTTAATTCTTCACATTGGCCTATGATCCACCTGGATTCTATTTGTGTATTTTTAAAGTTATGAATAAAAGTGAAATTTTCTTCTACAAGGTTACCCAATGGTTCCTAAACTATTTATTGAAAAGATTACCCTCTCCTGCCATCTTTTTTAATAAATAGAGTGTCCACATTGTGTGTCTATCTCTGGGCCCTTTGTTTCGTAGGTATACCTGTCTATACCACAATTTCTAAATTACTACAGCTTCATACTAAGTCTTGATACCAGGTCGAGCAAATGATCCCATCTTCTTTTCAAAAAACATTTTTTCTCTTGTTCATTTTTTACATTGTTGAGAGGTTCATAGGTTATTATTATTTATTAAATGATACCTTATACCAAGTAAAGTATACAAACTTACATTTATAACTACAGAGTGATTATTAGTATATGTATACAACTCTGTCACCCCTTAGGGACACCAAATCTTGACACCTGCCCATTAGCTTACACCTGTGAATATCCAAAGAGTGAGAGTACTTCGAGAAGAATAAAGCTCTGCAGTGCAAGTAGGATATTCCAGTGTTTGGTTGGGCTGAGCATGGGTGGTCAGATTTCCCACTCCCTTTTCAGATTTTAAGTGCCTAGGAGCAAGAGCGATCAGAATAGTTACTGTATACACTCTGTAGCACTTCTCTACTGATTCTTGGGAGCAGGAAGAGTGAGAGGGCCCTGGCAGGGGCGGTAACCCTGGAGGGGAAGACTCATAAAACAGCAGGGTGCAGGCCTGTCTGACGTGAAAGGGGTGGGCAACTGGACCACACAAGGTAGCTGGGTGTGGGTGGGGAAGGCTGGCATTCCAGCTGTAGCCCCACCCTCACTTTCCCCACTTCAGGAATGGTCACTGGAAGGAAAACAAGACAGAGATCAGCTTCCATTAGCACCGAGAAGCTGTGCTCTCCTCCTTTTCTGGTCCCATCTCTCTCACCTCAGAAGCCCTGACCTGGTCTAAGCCCCACCCATCCTGCCTCAAGACAAGTCACAGAAAGAGTTTGCAATGAAGTCCACTTTAATGATCCAGATTTGGGCATCCTAGAGCTGCCCCCCTGGAGGACAATGGGGAGGGCATTGGAGCAGAGAAGTTTCACACAGGTCTCAATCAGCAACAAGGTTGTGGCCCACAGTGGGGAACGGCTGGAAGAAGCCCTAAACAAGAAGGAACAAAGGATTGGAATCAGTATGCGGCGAGGTTCCCCCCCCTCCCCCCCCCGCAAAAGCTTCAAAAACAGCCTGATTTGAGTAAGCCCAGTGACTCAGCCCACCAGCTGCCTGTCCCCTTTGCCCCCACATATCGCTCACCCTTGCTGCTGTGATTTTCCCCTGGGCTCAGGCTTGGAGAACGATGACAGCACCTTGTTTGCATTCGCAGAAGCGCCATGGTAACCAGTCCCTCACAAGTGGCCCTGTCACTTAGCTCTGAGTGCATTGACCCAGCAGCCAATCCAGGCTTAGGAAGCACTGCTGCCACCTTGCAGGAGTGGGAGCCAAGGGAACCCATTTCCTAGGAGAGCAGGAGGGGCTGGAAGCCCCTGAGGTGCAGGCTGCCTCTGGGTAGCGTGCGTGGCCGGGTGGGAGAGCTACTCCCACTGCCGCTACCCCGGTCCAGGCCACCTCAGTCTCCCCTGGGCCAGGACGACGGGCTCCTTACAGGCCTCTGCTTTTAGTCTTGCTCTTCATAACCCACTTCCCAACATCACTAGAGGGGCCTTTTAAAATTGTATATCACATTATGAAATCCCCTCCTTAAAATTTCCCAGTTAAGTTGCCACTACACTTAGAGTAAAATTCAAGTTTTTTACCACGATCTCCGAGGCCCTGTGTGGTCAGCCCTGGGCTTACTTCTCCAACTTAATCTTCTACCCCTGACTCTTCTGTCTGTTCCTAACGGGCCATAGTCCTTGTTTCAGAACACTTGTCGCTGCAGTGCTCTCTGCCTGGGAGGCTTCCTTTGTATCTTCCTTTGGTTGCCACCTTCTTATAATTTAGCTCTTAGTACCCCCCAAAAGACTTTTGTCCATGTGGAGGAGCCTAATGTCTGGAACAGCCCACCCCCCCCTGCAGTCCCAGGGAGGAAAGGCAGGGGCTGCAGGGGAAAGGACTGGGTCCAGCCTTGGCTCTGCCATGAACCTGCGATGCAGCTTTGAGTAAGTGCCTTGACCAGCCTGGGGCCCAGTGTCTCACGGGAAAGATAGATGGGAGTGCTAGATGGGTGTTTCCAATCTGGATTCTGAAGAGTTCAGGCATCTCAAGGAAATAACTCTGAACTTTACCAGGTGACTACCCCAGGCCACAGAGTAGAGGAAGGTGGTGTGTGTGTGTGTGTGTTCTGAATGTGAAGGCCTCTGGGCTACCTCTCCTGTTTATCCAAAGGAGGTTTGCTATCACTTGCTATAAACAGGGAGTGTATGGAGGAAAGGAGGACCTTTTACTTAATTTTGAAAACTGCAGCTTTCAATGCCTACACATGATCCTATAGATCATTTGTCT